AGGAGGTGCGGGGAGGGAGGTGCGCGGCTGGAGCGAGGGTGGGACCCGAAGGACGCGGGCAGAGGCGGGGATGAGGCTGCCAGGGGAGGAGCTGGGGGATGCGCCGCCCGCGGGCAGCCCGGACTTCAGAAGGATCTGCGGATGTACGGAGGGAACTGGGGGTCCCCGAGACCAACGGGAGGCTGAGGATGGAGTCCAGAGGGATGGGGTCCCGGCCGGCAAGGATGCAATGCTGGGGAACTGGGGAGCAAGACAGAAGAACCCGGGTCACCAAAAGCAGAATGGGATGCTGGGGAAGGCGTTGCCAAAGGCGACTCCAGCACCGAGCCCCCCACCCCAGGTCCCCTTCCACAAATCTCTTTCTCGGTCAAGGTCAGGGCTGGGGAGCCAGGCCTGTGGGGGCTCGGTTTTGGCTGCACGCCATCCTAGCCGTGCCTCTGAATCACCTGATTGCTCAGTTTCCTATCTGTGGCAGGAGGGTGCCCATCAGGGCAGCCACCACCTCACAGGAATGCGGTGAGCCCCACGTAATCTATGCAAAGTGCTGCCTACCGCACCTCACAGCCCTGCCTGCCTTCTCTCCCCAGCAGCTGGATAACCACTCCCCCGAAGAGCTCCCTACCCCACCGAGGGACGGACGACCGCCCTACCCGAGCTCCCTCCGCTCTCTGCCCTTCTGAGGGAACCTGGACTTGGATCCACACCACAACCCTGCCCTCCCCTCCTGCCCCGCACCTTTCCCCTACCATGCCCCCGCTTTCTGGCTGCTGGGTGCTCCTGCTGTTCTCCGCAGGAGTCCAGGCAGCCCTGGAGAGCCCCAGCGCTGTCCCCGAGCATGTCCATCTGTCCTACCCAGGTGAGTGTCTGTGACCCCTCGTGAGGCCTCTCCAGAGGAGGCTCCGTGATGCTTCGTTGGTCGGGGGCACAGGAACCCTACCCGGATTGCTGCCGAGCCCCGGGACTAGCTGGCGGTCTGTTCTTACTGCACCTCAGCTGTGTGCTTCCGATTACACAGTCACGTGTCTATCGGGAAGGCACGATGGTGGCCGACCCATGGTGGGCTCTCTCTGCCCGTCGTCCTTGTTTATCGTGTCACTGCTGGGTCTGGAGACCTGGAGTGTTAGTCTGCAGTTGGCTCGAAAATCGGTTGTGGAAGAAACCAGGGAGCAGAAGAGGATGGAGCACCATCCCTCCACTCCTCCTCCCTGAAGGGGCCTCTTGCTCCTCCGTGGAGAGGTGGGGAGCATTCTGCAAGGGCCTGGGCTCTGCACCCTCTCTGTCCGGGCTGGCTGGACTACAAACCCAGCTCTGCTGCTTACCTGCTGTGTGACCTGGGCTGGTGAGCTCACCTCTCTGGCCTCGGCCTCCTGATCTGGACAATGGGGTTACAGGAGCGTGACCTTGGGGTGAGGAGGCCATGAGTCACCACTGGCAGAATGGCAGGGCTGAGGGTGGTGCACAGCAGAGATTCTCATGTGCTTTTGTCTCAGAAACTTTTCTGCGGTTATCAGGATCGCGAAGATACTAGAGAAATCTGCCAGTACCAAGTATGGTAGAAACGAAAACAAAGACATCCAAAATATGTGTTAAACCATTTCAAATGAGTAATAAGAAATCCCTTCTGGGATGGACATAATGACATGTTTTGTTTTGAGATGGGATCCTATTATACTACCCAGGCTGATCTTGAACCCCTGAGCTTAAGAAATCCTCCTGTCTCAGCCTTCCGAGTAGCTGGGAAAACAGTCATGAACTACTGTGCCTGGCTTAATGTTAAGACTATTTTAAATTAAAAAGTAACTCTACTTTGCCAAAGAAGAAAGTAAAGAATGTGGCATTACTTACATCTTTATAGATCTCTTTGATGTCTGAATAGACAACTTGATTTCTTTCCCATTTGCCTCTATTTTGGTCTATTGCGATTAGTTGCTTTGGATAATGTGGGTGAAGAAAATCTTGACTCACACAGATAAATGGTTGAAGCAAAGAGGAAGACTTTAATGTTTCAGATAATTGTGGCTACTTTTCATTCACACTATGCCAAAACTCAATATACAGTTTTTTGAAGCTTTTTATTTTAAACTAATTTTGACTTCCAAAGATAGTGAGGGGCTCTGCTTTTGTCCACCTGTCTTCCCTGGTGGGCATCTCTTCTCTAACTATGGTACCAAGGTCAAAGCTAAGAAATGAACACTGATAGCAAATGATATATCACATTTCAAATTTTACCAACTTTTCTGCTAATGTCTTTATTCTAATTTAGAAGCCCGTGTTGTGTTCAGTGTCTAGTCTCTTCTATCCGTGACAGTCTTCCCTTGGATTTAAAGCCCTTGATACTTTTTTTGAGGTGGCGTTCTCGCTATGTGGCCCAGACTGGCCTCAAACTCCTAAGTTCAAGCAGTATCCTACCTCAGTTTCCTGAGGAATGGGTGCTACAGGCGTGCACCATCAAAGCTTTTAAAGACAGTAGTTTTGTGTTGTTGCATCAATACTGGGGATTTAATCCAGAACCTTTGCACTGAGCTACATTGCCAGCCCTTTTTTCTTTTGATGCAAGGTCTGCGTGAGTTGCCCAGGCTGAGCTCAAACTTGTGATCCTCCCGCCTCAGCCTCCCACAGTGCTGAGTTTACAGGTGTGCACCACCACTCCCTGCTTAGGAAGGTAGTGTCTGGGGCTGGGGATTTAGCTCAGTGGTTCTGGCGCCTGTCTCGCAAGCACAAGGACCTGAGTTCAATCCCCGGTACCAAAAAAAAAAAAAAAAAAAAGAAGGTAGTGTCTGAGAGTTGCAGTGGGAATCAGGACCACACGAATGAAGTAGTGTGACGTTTTCTAGCCAGGTCACGTTGGACCCTCACTTTGCTTGGCAGTCTCTGGACACTTGGTGATACCGCAGCCCCCCTTCTGGGGCCTTCAGTGTAATTCACAGCAAACAGACTTATTCTGCACACTTCCCACAGACAGCTCATTTAATTAACCTCTCGCTCATTTTAAGCTGCGGGTACTGTTGCTGCTCCCATTTTACAAAACAGTAAACAGAGGCTCATGGATGTGAGGACTCTTGCCTCAGTCACATAGCCTGCAAATTGAATATAGGCAGAACCCATGATTGCTGTGTTAAAGCTTTTAATCTCATGCCAATGTTCTTTTATGAAGCAGCCAGGACAGTTATTTATTCATTTATTATTTATTTTTGAGGGGTAAAGGAATGAGGGAAAACTGGCTCTGCACAGCAAACTTGGGCTGAATGAAAGAATGGATAAAAAAATAAATAAAAATATAGCCTTGCCAGGCATGGTGGCACACGCCTGTAATCCCAGCACTCGGGAGGCTGAGGCAGGAGGATCACTGTGAGTTCGAGACCAGCCTGAGCTACATAGTGAGTTCCAGGTCAGTCTCAACTACACAGTGAGAACCTGTCTCAAAAATCCACCCCCCCGCAAAAAAAAAAATATATATATATATGGCCTGGTCCAGAAGATGCCAAATGGGCTGTTGTGGAAGGGTGGTGATAGCATTTATACTTTGAATTTATTTTAAATGTAAACATTGTACTTAGGAATTCGAATCTGCACTTTGATTAGTGTGTGGTTATGAGAATCAGTCTAAGTACATAACACATAATCAAATCGGGGTGGTAAGAACTTCCATCTCTTCAAATGTTTATCGTTTTTATGTCAGTTTTAGAATTAACAGAAGAGTTCCAAAAATACTATAGAGAATTCTTATCTTGTCCACGCTCAATGTCTCCTAATGTTAGCAACTTATGTAACTGTGGTACGCTCACTAAAACCAGCAACCCCGCCGAGGGCAGTGCTGTGCACCTGTTGCCCCAGCTACAGAGGAGGCTGAGGCAGGAACGTTGCCTGAGCCCAGGAGTTAAAACTACCCTGAGCAACATAGTGAGATCTGTCAAAAGCAAAACAAAAAACACAAGGAAATTAGAAATGAATATTATTGATTAAACTACAGACCTCATTCATGTTTTACCAGTATTTCCACTAAGGTCTGCTTTTTGTTTTTGTTTTGCTTTATTTTATGGCAGGAGATTGAACCCAGGGCCTTTGCACTGAGCTACATCCCCAGCCCTTTTTTTTTTTACTTTTTATTTTGAGACAAGGTGTTGCTAAATCACTAAGTTGCCCAGGCTGGCCCAAACACACACACACACACACACACACTCTCTCTCTCTCTCTCTCTCTCCCCCTCTCCTTTCAGACTCACGACTTTATGCTTGTGAGGCAGGGGCAGTGCCACTGAGCTAAATCCCCAGCCCTCAGCCTTTTCTTTTGCGGGATTCAATCCAGGGTCTCATTTAGTCTCCAATCCATGGTTGCATTTAGTGGCTGTGTCCCCTTAGTGTCCTCCACCCTGTCACTTTTGAACTCTTTATCCTTTGTGATCTTGTTATTTTTTGGGCACTGATTGCTTATTTTGTAAAATAGCCCTCATTTGGGGCTTGTCCAGTATTGTCTCATGACTGGAACTAAGTTCTGCATTTTGGGATGTGATGTGTGTCGTTCTCAGCGGTGACACCAGAGAGATGCGGCCTGTTGCTGCTGCTGGTGGTGTGGACCTTGATTGGCTGGCTCGGGAGATGCCTGCTGGGTTTCTCCATTGTGAAGTTATTCTTCTCTCCTTTGTGGTTAATAAATAGCCACAGGGAGATTACTCAAGACTAAGTAGATCCTGTTCCTCCACCAATGTTCACCCACTAATTTTTGTATGTAATTATTGTAGACAAGAGTGGATCCAATCTACAATAATTATTAGTGTGGTGCTTGTCTAATTATGATTTTTAAAAATTTTCTCATTCCCTCTCTTATATAATTCCCTCTTTCCATCTAATTAAAATTTCAATGTAAGGAAGAGCCATCCTTTCCTATTGCATCTATTAATTTATTCAATACTAATTTATATCATGGACTCATGGCTATTTCTTTTATTCTATGGGCAAAAATCCAGTACTGTTGTTCTTTATTCTGCTGCTCATGCGGCCCCAGATTTGATCTCTTGAATTTCCTCAGATTGGCTTCCATATTCTTTCCTCAAGCGCACATCACTTTGGAACACTTCCATGCTCTGAGACACGATAAATTATATTCTGCCTTAGCCCTGGAATCGCTTATTTTTCTACTTAGCCTGAGTTCCTTTCATTGGAGAATGGGACGTTTGCTTGGTTTTTTGTTGTTGTTGTTCTTTTGGTTTTTTGAGACAGGGTCTCACTATGTCATTGAGACTGACCTGGAACTCACTCTGTAGCCCAGGCTGGTCTCATACTTGCAGCGATCTTCCTGCCTCAGCCTCCTGAGTGCTGGGATTATAGGCGTGCACCACCACACCTGGCATTTGCTTGTTTTTTGAGACAGGGTCTTGCTATGTAGTTCAGGTTGGTCTTGAACTCATGGAGATCCTCCTGCCTCAGCCTCCCAATGGTTGGGATTACAGATATGTGCCACCATGCCTGGCTGAATGGGTCTTTAGAAACCAAGGTCTGAGTGCCCAGTAAGCTCTTTGCTAGTGGAATGACAATTGCTGCTGGTTCCTCTCAATGCACAGAGCAAGGCGATCTGCACGTGTGTCCTAGCATGCAGGTCCACACATCTGTATTCCTATACCCACACATCTGTGTCATATTAAATAAATATAAGTTCATGTTGATATCTCTGATTTCAGTGCAACCCCAGCCTTCCACTTGCCTTTTCCTTGTTTTTCTTTCTTTATTAGTATGCGTTTATGATACATATCAATTCCATTTGTTTGGGGGAATTGGTACAAACCCTCTTGATCATTTTTACTCCCTTCTCTTTGCTCCTGTGTAACTTTTCTTCAACCCCAAGAAACCTGTTGCCGTCTGTGATACACTGGCTCCCTTGTTCAGTTTCTGGGCCCGCATAGTTTCTGAGCTGTCAGCCCACTTCCTCGTGAAGAGCATGACATGACACAGCACAGTTGTGCAGGACTTTGAGTGTGTCAGCCTCACAGTGCCCAGAGAGGACTCTGTTTCCCATGGTGATCTGTCTTCCTCACCCCCTCAGGGTGCCATGTTATTCATTTTTAATGCATTTAGTCCCTTTGCTAGTGTTCATAATCCGTATTGAGTGCCTTCCTGTTCTGGGTTTTCCTTTTCCTTTTTATTTTTTTATTTGGAGCGTGTAAAGAAATTCAAATGTGACTGTAATTCTGGGAGTCTGAAGTAATGGAAATTTCCTCAGAAAAGTGTCCCTCCTTGTCACAGCCTGCATGGCTGAAGGGTTTACGGAATGAGAAATTATGGTGATCTTTTTTTGGTAACAGAGATCAAACTCTGAACCTCGTGAGGCAGGCAGCAGCCCCACTGAGCTAAATCCCTGGCCCAAGAAACTTACAGAAGAAGACGAAGAAGACAAAGACAACAGGAGAGTTTACCTAGCTGTGGCCAGGTGGAAACCCTGTCCAGAGGAGACCAGAAGCTTGGCTTGCATCCTCAGCACCTTTATTTATAGTGTAGATGAGGAACCGGAAGGGGATGCCTGATGGGAACAAGGAGAATGGCTGGGGTCTGCAGGAGATAATGCTTGATTTGGGGGGTGTGGGCGGGAAGATGGTCTTCCTTTTTGGCCAGGCTTCATTTTACCACACCTTCTTGTTGCCTGTTTTGTTGTTGTTTTTGGTTTTTGTTGTTGTTGTTGTTGATGTTGTTTTTGCGGGGCCCTGCCCCATCCACAGGAGGAAGCGAACAAGAGGCATGTTTTTTTGTTCCACTCGGGGCCCTGCCTCACCTGCGGGAGGAGGCGAGTTAGGCCTGGCCGTAGTGATCTACGGGGCAGAACTCCCAGCATCTCCTCCTCACGTCTGTCTATCCTATTCCACCATCCTCTTACCCCGCTTCCCCACCCATGCCCTGCACATAATCCATCTCTTTCCTTCCTGGTGTGTCCTCCTGCACAAATGAGCATTCATCTGAATATTTCTTTTTTCCCCTTCCTTCCTCCCCCTCTTCCTTCATGGTACTGGAGATTGAACCTCAGGATTCTATCCTTTGCACTGAGCTGCGCTCATAGCCCTTTTTAAATTTTTGAGACAGGTCTTGCTGACACATTAAATTGCCCAGACTGGACTCAAACTTGTAATCCTCATGCCTCAGCCTCCTGGAGTTCTGGGATGCATATTTTCTTATATTTCCTTATGTTAAGGGTAGCACTTTGCTGCCCCTACCCCCCAATATTGGGGGTGGAACCCAGAGGCTCTTGCGTGTCAAGCTGCTCTGAGCTAAGTTTCTCAGGCTGGGCTTGAACTTGCGCCCCTCCTGCCTTGGCCTCGGCCTCCTGGAGTACCAAGATTATACATATACACCACTTAGCTTTCTTTTGCTTTAACAATCCGTCCTGGAAATCAGAGTAGCAATTCCTAGACCCATCTTCATTCATTTTTATACCCTTGCGTGGATGGTGTTCACTTACTTTGTTATCTTTGGGCATTTAGGTTGTTCCTAGAATTTTGCAATTACAATCAGTGCATCTGCATTTTCGTATTGCTAGAGAAAGCACTCAGCGCTTAACATCACATACCACGAAGTTTTTTGTTTTTGGTACTGAGGATTGAACCCAGGGCCTTCACCCTGAGCTGCATCCCCAGTCCTGTTTTTGTTTTTATTTTGACACAGGGTCTTGCCCATTCTGTGCTCCAGCTTGTGACCCTCCTGCCTTCACCTCCCAGAGCACTAGGGTTTTTGGCATGCGCCACCACATCTGACAACATGCGGCACTTTTTAGAGCCTTGGTGACTAGCCGTAAGAATGTGAAGCTATCTCTTAGAACTCTGGACTTGCGTATATATCTGCAGTGTATGTGGTCCCAGATAGAAAGAAGCCACTATGTGAAGATTTACTCTGGAAGTGAATAGGTTTGGTGGCACTGGGCCACCTTCCTGCCTGGCGCCTGTCACCAAAGCTGAAGGATGACCATCCTTTTACACAGCGTGGGTTCTGCGGTTGGCTCATGCTCCAGACTTCTTGCCACCCGTGTCCCTGCTGATATTACCTCGTGGCCTCCAGGTGCCTGCATTGACAGCGTGTGTGTGCAGTGTTGGCACAAGGGTTACACACAGTGAAGGGGCAGCGACGATGACAGCTGCTCGTCCCTATAGCCCAACTGTCGTAGGCCCCGTGCTTTTCTTACAGACAGCTCTGGGGATCCACTGGGAAAGGGTTCCAGGGCCCCCTGTGGGTACCGAGCCTGCACATTCCCGAGTCCCTTATATAAAATGACACAGTAGCTGCATGTGACACGTGCACACACTCCTGGGTGCTTTAATGATCTCTAGGTTTCCTATGATATTTAGTACAATGTAAACAGTATATAAATATTGTTATACTGTGTGGTTTTTTTGTTTTGTGCTGTTGCAATACTGAGGATTGAACACAAGGCATTCAGAATAAGCTATATCCCCAGCCCTTTTTTATCATGAGATTAGATCTCATTAAGTTGCTAAATTGCCCAGGCTGGGCTCAAATTTGGGATCTTCCTGCCTCAGCCTGCCAGAATGCTGGGATTATAGGCATTTGGCTTATACTGTGCTTTTTTTTTTTTTTCTGGGACCAGGAATCAAATTCAGGACCTTTGGCTTGTCAGGCAGGTGCAGCACCATTGAGCTATATCCTCGGCTGTAGTATGCTTTTCTAGGGACCAAAAACAAGAAAAAAATGTCTATACACATTCAGTACAGATACAAAAAGTTTTCTGATTACTTTTGGTCAACCAGGATTAGATGCAAAGATACAGAGGGTTGATTATATACTTACTCGTCTAATTTCATAACAACCTTATAGACTAGATGGTATTATTCCATTTTTCAGATAAGAAAACTGAGGCTTGGGTGGCCGAGTAACTAAGTAAGCACAGCTTGGAAATGGAGACGCTGGGGTTGAATGTGGGCAGCTCCAGAACTTGTGCCCTTAACTACTTCCTAAGTGTCAAGAACTGTCACTATCACTGGCCTCTCACCCAGCCCCTCTCTGTCCCTTTCTCCCCAGGTGAGCCAGGCTCCATGACAGTGACCTGGACCACGTGGGTTCCGGCCCGCTCAGAAGTGCAGTTCGGGGTGCAGCTGTCTGGGCCCCTGCCCCTCCGGGCGCAGGGCTTCCTCACCACCTTCGTGGACGGGGGCATCCTGAAGCGCAAGATCTACATCCACCGGGTGACGCTGCGGAAGCTGCTGCCCGGGGTCCAGTACAGTGAGCACCAAGCGCCAGGCTTAGGGGCTCCCGGGAGGGGCGGAGGGGCGCAAGCTGGGGCCTGGAGCTTCCGGGGTGGGGGGAGCCTCCCGCTGGGATTCTCCATGGGGGGGCGCCACCACCACCAGCTCCCCCCACTAAGGGAAGGCAAGGTGCGTGGGGACTGGAGCGGGGGTCTGGGCGCCTTCTGCGCTCCACTGACTGTGGCCTCTCTTCTTCCTCAGTTTACCGCTGTGGCAGTGCCCAGGGCTGGAGCCGTCGGTTCCGCTTCAGGGCCTTGAAGAACGGGGTTCATTGGAGCCCCCGGCTGGCTGTGTTTGGGGACATGGGGGCTGACAACGCGAAGGCCCTTCCTCGGCTGCGCAGGGACACCCAGCAGGGCATGTACGATGCCATTCTCCATGTGGGTGAGGCATTGGCTCCCGTGCACAGGGTGCGGGGGGCTCTGGGCAAGGACAGAAGGGGTGGGGGGGGCTCTGCGGGGACCAGAGAAGAGGCTGATCAGAGATGGGCTCTGTGGTGGGGAATCCCACCTCCCAAGTCCCCGCGGTGGTGCAGCCATGTGGTCTCAGCGCTCAGGCAGGCTGAGGTACTAGCGTTGTGAGGTCCAGAAACCCTGTCTCAAAAATAAATTAATAAGTAAGTAAATAAATAAATAACAAGGGCTGGAATGTAGCTCAGTGACAAGGCCCTGGGTTCTATCCCCAGTATAAAAAACAAACAAACAAAAAACAAACACAAAGCCTCCTCCAGCCCTTCTAGCTGTGAGCACTGATTCCCACTGGGTATTACTACCCTTGTTATTGTCAGTGGTTAGGTTAGTTAGAATTCACAGGACTGTGGTGGTGACCGAATAAGTTAACGTAGTTGTTGTGCTGCTTGTGCATTACTCGCTACTGTTGTTACTGTCACTGTTATTTGAGGGGTTAATGAATGAGGTATGGGAGGTGAGGACCCTGTGGGGAATTAGGCCTCCTGAGTTTGATTCCTGGATCTGCATTCACCAGCTCTGTGACCCCGGGCCTCGGTTTTCCCCTCTGGCGTGGGGGTAATGTGACACCCTCCTCTGAGGGTGCTTTGACGGTGTAGGTGATGGTACAGATAACGCCTTTGGAGCTGTGCCTGGTATAAAAGCAGCACCAAGCTGTGTGTCGTGGTTGGTCTGGGAGGGGACTTGAGGCAGATACAGACTGGGGCTGGGGTGACCAGAGCGAAGCAGACAGAACCACCCTGCATGGTCCAGGGCCCGAGGCTCAGAACACGTTTGGGGGGTGCGAGGTTGGGACTGGAGGAGCCGATGGCTCTGTCCCGCCGTGAGCCGCTAGGTCCCTCCATGCTGGTGAAAACAGAGCTGGGTCTGGGCCTCACTCTGTCCCTGTCCGCCACCCCAGGAGACTTCGCCTACAATATGGATCAGGACAATGCCCGGGTCGGGGACAGGTTCATGCAGCTCATCGAGCCTGTGGCTGCCAGCCTGCCGTACATGACGTGTCCTGGAAACCACGAGCAGCGCTAGTGAGAACGAGGGCCACAGGGCGGGCACAGGCCGGGTCAGCCCAGCGTCTCGCCTTGGTCCCTCCTGCTGTTGTCTTTACAGCAGTAAGAGGAGAAGCAGGGGGTGGCCCGGGAGCCGGGCCCCGGGGGACAGCGGGGAGAGGCAGCAGGGCTTCAGAATCCAGGCCTTCACCCCCACTCTGCTCTGCCTTTTCCCAGCAACTTCTCTAACTACAAGGCTCGCTTCAGCATGCCAGGGAACAGCGAAGGCCTGTGGTACAGGTAATCTGGGGTGCTGGCCTTGCTCCCCTGAAGGGTGGGAGCCTCGGAGGAGACCCCACCTCTGACCTGTGGCCCATCTCTGACCCCTCCAGCTGGGATCTGGGTCCGGCCCACATCATCTCCTTCTCCACCGAGGTCTATTTCTTTCTCCACTATGGGCGCCATCTGCTTCAGAGACAGTTTCGCTGGCTGGAGAGTGACCTCCAGGTAGGGTGGGTGGAGGTCCCATTCCGCCCCACACCTCTGTTCCCCACCACAGCCCCTCACTCCGGGCCCTTCTCTCTAGAAAGCCAATAAGAACCGGGCAGCGCGGCCGTGGATCATTACCATGGGTCACCGGCCCATGTACTGTTCCAACGCCGACCTGGACGACTGCACAAAGTACGAGAGCAAGGTGAGGATCCCTCCCCCCGGGGCACCGAGAGCAAGGGCCGGGGTGGCCTGAGTCACCCTCACCTCCTGCCTCCTCCCACCAGGTCCGCAGAGGCCTCGGGGGCAAGTACGGGCTGGAGGATCTCTTCTACAAGCACGGTGAGGGACCCAGGGCAGCCTCTGCCCTCTGCTCTGTCCCAGTTGTCCCCATTTGGGACCTGACCCCCACTTTCTGTGTCCCAGGGGTGGACCTGGAGCTGTGGGCTCACGAGCACTCATATGAACGGCTGTGGCCCATTTATAACTACCAGGTGAGGGGCGTGGAGGGTGGGGAGGGCGTCCTAGCCCGGGTGCCCCGCTCACCACCTTGCTCCCCGCTCAGGTGTTTAACGGCAGCCTGCACCAGCCCTACACCCACCCTCGAGGTCCTGTGCACATCATCACCGGGTCTGCGGTAAGCAAGGTGGGCGGGAGGGTCTAGGGTCACCCTTCGCTCACCCCTCTGGCTCCTGAGGACCGACCTCGTTCCAGCCTGGTTGCCTTTACACCGTGGGCTACCCCTTGGGTGGTGGCGTGGCAATCCGAGAGGTTCCAGCAGGAATCACTGTTTCCTCGAGGCCAGCAGAGTCACGAGAGCTCCTTTATCATGACATATCCTGGGGGAGCCAGGCACAATGGTGCACACCTTCCGTCCCAGCTACACAAGAGACTGAGGCAGGAGGATCACAAATTCAAAACCAGCTTGGGCAACTTAGCAGGGCACTGTCTCAAGACATTAAAAATTTAAAAAATGTAAAAGGAAGGGCTGGGTGCTGTAGCTCAGTGGGAGGCATGGGCTCCTGCGGGGCGGGAATTTTAGGGAAAGTACTTTTAGACCACCTGAAAGTGTTGTAAGGAGGGATTTTTTATTCTCTTCATTCTTCTCAGATTTATTAATTGGGATCTTCCCATTAGGAAGAGTTATCTCTCTGCCCGTTTATTTAGTTGATTGATTCATTATTTATGTCAGTGTGGACTCTGGAGTAATTTGTGGTATCCTGTGGCTTATCGTCCCATTCTCTTGTTATTTATTTGGGTGTTGAAACTGCTCCGGCTCTGGCCGTGGGGACTCTCATGTTGGCTCCTGTCCCCTTCTGACCTGTCCCTGTCATCCTCCCTTCCTGTCCTTCCTCACTGCACTCCGAAGGCCCCTAGCTCACCTTATATTTTCCCTGCTTGGTTCTGGACTCAGCTCCTTCTCCAAGGAGAGAGAGCTTGTTTTTTTAGAAATGATGAGGATCAAAGTGAGAATTACTCACAATCAAAACTCAAACAGCCAGCGGGCAGGCAGTGAGCGGCCTTTCTCGGTCCTGCCCTGAGCTGTTGTGTCTCTTGGCTCGTATTTTAAAATGTTTTCTGTATATACAGAAGTAATGAGCCATTGTCTAGACAGAGAGGCGTTATCTGATCGCCCACTTTGCAGACATGATTTAGATCAGGCTTCATAGCCCGGTGGTGCTCAACCTTGGTGCCTGGCGGGATCACATGGGAGCTTTTCAAACTCCATGCCTGGGACCAGAGCACAGTCTCTGCGTGCGGGACCCTGCCGTCAGACACACCTGTGTGAGCACCACCCAGAGCAGCAATCTGACAGAGCAAGGTGGCCTCCTTTCCGGTCTCTGAACTTTCTCCCCACCTTTCTCAGCATGGATTAGGGTTTTCTTTCATTTCAAAGTCCAAAGTTATTTATCTCAGACCTACAGAAAAGCTGCAAAAATAACACAAAGGTATTCCCTAGGCCCTTCACCTTTCCCAAATCAAAACATTTAAACACTTTTGCTTTCATCTCTTTCCATCTCCATTTGATTCATATTTTCAGATCCAATTGAGTTAATTGTAAGCATGATGTCCTTTACCCCTCTGTATTTCTTCCAAAAGAAAAGAAAAGAAAAGAAAAAAGGACTCACATATCACTGAGGAATAATGATTATATTCAAGTAGTTCACGTTGATAATACATTATTATGTAATCTACAGACCTCATTCAAATTAGCCAAGCCTCCCATTAGTGTCCTGTAAATCAAAGCAAAGATTTTTTTTCCCCATCCAGGGAGCTAGTCCATGATTAAGTGTATTCAGGTATCTTATCTCTTTTGCTTTCTTTAATCGGAAGCAATTTCTCACGTCTCTCAGTCTGGGTCTGCCTGATCATGACTGGACTGAAGTTGCACGTTTCTGGTTACAAAAGCAAGCCTGGTGTGTCCACCCTGAGACTTAGGACACCTCTTGAACTTCTTGGAGTTTCCTGTTTCCCAGCTCCAAGTCTGCCATCTGACCCAGTGCTGGCTGTGGAATTGGGTCACTTGGGTGAGGCAGCCGGGACTTCCCACCATGAAGTTACCCTTTTTTCCTTTGTAATTCATCAGTAATTCACAAGAGACTGGTGGAGACGTACTTTGAAACCATGCAAATGTCCCGTTATTTCTCAAATTGTCCCCATTGCTCTTGTCACCTGTGGATGAAACCCGTGGCAAGCCTCAGTCACTTGTTACAATGCCAGGTGAAAAGTGGTGACTTTTTTTTCTGGTAGTGCCCAGGATGGAACCCAGGGCAATCCCACTGAGCTAAATCCCCGGCCCTTTTCATTTCTTATGTTGAGACAGGGTCTTGCTAAATTGCCCAGGCTGTGATCCTCCTGCCTCAGCCTCCCAGAGTGTGAGGATTGGAGGCATGCACCACCATGCCCAGCTGAATTTGTCTTTCTGGGGGGCAGCAGGGTTCCAGCCTAGGATGTCATTTCTGTTTACTTTGGGTTCCCATCCACTCCAGTGCCAGGTCTGACTGAGTCTCTCTACAGGGCTGTGAGGAGCGTCTCACCCCCTTTACCATCAGGCCAAGGCCCTGGAGCGCCGTGCGTGTTAAAGAGTACGGGTACACACGGATGCACATCCTCAACGGTACCCACATTCACATCCAGCAAGTGTCCGATGACCAGGTCAGTGGGGACAGCCTGGAGCACCTGACTGTACAGCCAGGCCCAGTATGAGCTGGAGCTGAGTGGCCCAAGCCTACTTGTAATGAATCATAAATAATAAGTAACAATAAAACCTGGGACTCTAGAGTTAGAAACCCCGGATTCAAATCCTGCCTCTACTACCTACCTAAGGTGCTTCACCATGAACAACTTATGAAACCTCTTTGAGCCTCAGTTTTCCCATCTATAATGGAAAATTTCTACCTTACAGAATTATACAGAATTGGATGACTTATGAAGTGTGATTTTTAAAATATGGTGAATGTTTAGTGATTTTTTTTAGTTTGTTTTATCTTGTTTTTTGTTTTTATTTTTTATTTTTTTGGTTTTTTAATTTTTTTATACTTGATCTTGCCCAAAAGGCCAAGAAGCAATTGGTTTGTTTTTTTTTTTTTTGAGACAGGGTCTCACTATGTAGTTGAGACTGACCTGGAACTCACTATGTAGCCCAGGCTGGTCTCAAAATCACAGCGATCCTCCTGCCTCAGCCTCCTGAATGCTGGGATTACAGGAGTGTACCACCATGCCCGGCATTGTTTTTAATATATTACAATAAAAGATACATTGTCATCAATTCCTCTAAAAATACTCCTCCTTTGCTTTGAACACATGTACCCCAATGTTCTTTTTATCATTTTTTTTTTTTTGAGACAGGGTCTCACTCTGTAGTT